CAAATCGACACGATTCAAATATCAGACACATCCACAAGCTATTTATACAAGTCGATTTTTGAATATTTCAAAACTCCTCAAACCAGGTAATAACACTTATATTTTTAAAAAGTCAGCAATATGTTATTAATTATAAAAATTTCTAAATCTGTCAATAGTAAATGCAGGTAATTATATTTATTTTCTCAAATTGAATTTTAAACTATAGTTTTAATATATTTATATATTTTAGCAAGTCAACCTATTGATTGTGTTCCCGGCGGTAAGTAATATTTGATTTACTTACAACAAACCAAATTTATTGCTTATTTTATATTTGTATCTAGATTATTAAATCAAGTGAAAGGAAGTTATTGAATTGGGAACATTCTATTTATTACTGCCATGCTACAATAATTCAGCAATTGTTATATATTTTAATGTATTTACGCGCCTAAAGAGAAAAAGGATATAACCCAATTTCACTAATAACTGTTTTGCAGACAAAGTTGACCGATTTAAGTTAGGATTGGCCTGACTTATAGTTTAGTGTAGGCTAGATGTAGATTGTTGGCGAAATGGTGGTTAGCAGGTTCTACTAAAGATGTTATATAATAAAAATTACTAAATTTAAATGCCGTATATAAATTTATTAACCGAATATTGAAATAGTAAATATTAAATTACCTTTATTACTGTTGTCGGTGGTAGTCTTGTTTTTTAAATGATATACGGATATATTTTATAATTTTTTAAAGCTATAAAATTAAATCTAAATATTAAGGCACCGAACCTCAACAGTCCCTGTTTCCTAGTATAATCAAAATCAAAGTTATATTTTATCTCGAAACTGTGATCAAAATTTTATAATAAATATATTCAATAAAATAGATGAGAAAATTAAATGTTAAATGCATACCATTATATTTGGTTTATAATGCAAAAAGAATCTTAGCATTGAGTTTCGACTGGTTGAAAGAGCAATGTGCATGATTGCACAGTTTAGCTCCAGTCGCAACTGTGGAGTGAATATGATAGCATCAACCGGCAATCCAGTGAATCAAATGAGAATTTATAAAACGTCCATTTGTTATCATCATGGAATCGGTATTAAAAGAAATTATACAGAACATAATAGACATAAATTGTATAAAAATATATTGGGCCGTATAAATTTTATAAAAGGGAAGCTATATGCTGTAATGAAAAATAATACAAATAAAAGCATGGTACCAAACATGTGATCCTGATATGACAATCGACGATTATGTGAAATGGATATAACTTAGAGCTGAATGGTATAATGATATATCCATTTGATAGACTAATTAATATTAACAAGATTGGTGAGAGAGGATTCAGCTCTGTGTATTCTGCAATCTGGTTGGATAGCGAATATAAAATCGCATAAATCATCTACCACCACTGCTCTCAAAACCTTGTTAAGTTCCAAGGAAAATTTTTGAAAGAAGTTATAAATATACAGTTATTAAACACTTACAATTAATTTATTCACATATAGAATGTAGATATATTAGACTTTAGTTATACTGTATGGATTAGCTCAAAACACAAAAACAAACAAGTATGGCAATAATATAGGTGTAAGTAATGTTATACAATCTTACGTCTCAGCCTAGATTTATCTTAGAAGGAAGAGGAAGCTAATTTGGGTAGCATTTATGTGTCCTACCTTCTTATGTTGCTTACAAAGGAAACCTTCAAATTTATAGTTTATGGCTAAGATGTATAGATGAGTGCCGAAATTCAAAAAGGAATAATAATTAATAATCAAGTTAAATAGTGATAGTGCAAAAATTTGGCGGTCCCAAAATTAATGTTTATATTAATACAAAGTAGAAAGAATATATCTAAATTTTTGTGCCGAAAACTTTTATTAACAGCAAAAGACTAATTTTTCTTCGTGAATTTATGAGTTTTTTTTCGCCATTTGTATATTACACATGATCTTAAAATCGGATTTGATAAATCACAAGACAACTATTTCACTCCAATTTCCTTTTTAGAACTTCAGACCCTATCGCTATACGTACTAAGATGTCGACGAACTATTTTACCAAATTTCTTTAGTCATAATAAAAATTATTACAATTAATTATATTCCAGCATTACAACATGTGAATTTTATATAATATAAATAGAAAAAGTTAATATCGACCACACAAAGAAATGTTATTTAGTTGCCAAAAACTCATGATTGCTAAAAATATGACCATATAATAATTAACGTTAAAAAATTTATAATAATGCACCTAGAAGGAAAATACTAAATCATTTCTTGATTTTTGATTTTTTGAAAATATTGTGTTACATTATTTACATTTTCGAATCTATTCCAAATATGAAAATAAGATGTTTGTCATGGGGATTTGGGTGATGAAGGTAAAGTTTGGTTTTCCCTTTTCTTTCTTATTTGTTTTTTTAATCATTGAAAGCACGTCAGCCTGTAATAATAAAAGTCTGTTCCTGTTAGCATTTAGTATAAAATGGTTAACTTTCATTTTCAATTCATACCTGAAAGTTCATCAAGTATTCCATGTCTATAGCGAATTGTTCAAAATCATCGAATGATATTTTGATACATTTGAATCGTTGAAGAAGATATATTAGATGGTAAGGGATGGACTAGATACTTAATAATAATATAACCATCTAGAAAAAATATAATATATGTATATTCATCAGAATTTTACTAGTTATCTCTAACCACAACATTCACAATACTTACTGGCAGCTTGTATCAGATAAATGCGTGCTTTATCCTTAGACACATTTTCTAGTAGCCTATTTAAAATTCGCATTGAATTTCTACACAATTTAACCTGATCATTGTCTTTTTTCGATACCATTAGAAAACTCAACAATGATTGTGACATGATTTTTTTGTGTTGTCTTAATTATTTTGAAAAGTCCATCAATCTTGTGTTTTTTTTTGTATCGGGTGTAGTTAGCTCAATCCTAAACAAAATAAACAGAGAGTTAGCAAGCAAGATAGCTCAACATTTCAAAATTATAATTGATACTTACCATCAAATGTCCACTACGTCTTGGTGCATTCGAAAAACTCTATTTAAAATATATACAGTGTGTCTATTGAATATGTTCTTTCAAGGTCAAAGTTATTTGATTCAACTCTGATCGGCACCTCTAGGTGGACGGAACTATTTATAAAAGAATTGATTAAATAAATCATCTATTAGTGAATTATTGAATATTTTAATAAACACTTACAAATGTGATAAAATTTTTTGAGCGATGTCATGAGCTTCATGACGATAAGAATTAAAAGGAGCAATTAGAACAAATGACTCCTGGGCCAAAATTGGATCCTCAGTAAACTGACTTATATATTGTTGCGATTTTTGTTTGAGAAGCATATTAAGCCATTCGTTTTGAATTTCATTTTAAAGTTTTTGTAACTTTTTTGAGCACTTCATCGTTAGATAAATCGATAATATTCTCCAGATTTCCTATCTTATTGTTGTGAAGTCAAAATCGCAAGTAGCTTATTACGAATGTCAACTTCGTTCTAGAAAGTTAAATAAGAGTGAACATAGCTATTATGTAAAATTATATAAAAAGAAATAAAACTAGCGAATACTAAAATACCTGTGGCTTCTGAATTTCTTCTTCACCTTGTTTGATTTCAACTGGTTCCGAATCATGAATAGTTTCCACAGATTAAGATATTGAATGACTTGGCAATTTTTTTAGAATAATCGTCCTAAAGTATTAAATAACAAAAATATTGATTCCGCTGATGCTCAATCGCTAGCAAATAAAATGCTCATATGTACAGTACATTTTGTTTATTTACTTTTTTTGGTACACGTCCTTCATCAAAGACTTTGCTAGTCGCACTTCAATTATCCCTCCATTTACTACAGGCCCATTTAAACTTCCATTAATTGATTGGTGAATATTAATCTGTTTCTTCATACGCTTTTCCTCCCATTCACTTGCTTTTTTACGGTCAAAACCCCAGTATGAAAAAAAATCAAAAATTAGTAACAATTCTTGATTAACATTTTTTAAATCCCACCAGAACATCAATCCGCCTAGAAAGCCAACTAAGCTCCAGTAGGTCCAGTACTGGATCGGCTAGAAACTTTTTGCATCAGATAACCTAGAAAGTCATCCGCGCGCCAGTACCAGTTTTGTGGCTCAGCTAAAAGCCTTGAATTACCGGCAACCTAGAAAGCCTCCGTTCATGCCACTTTTTTCTTTCAATTACAACAACTTAATTTCACTTAACTTTTTTAAACTTGTCAATAAGAATCCCTGCTGATAGTTAACAATACCTTCGAGGCTTTTTGTATATCTAACTACTTTTGCGTCAAATGGATCATGGAGGGAGATCCCAAAATTCCGGGTCAGAAAGTATCGGAGCCCTGGTCGGATGGGCCGGAATCGATCGATTTTGCCCAAGATTACTAAAACCATAGCGATAGTCATTTATTACCTAACCCGTAAAGCATGCATAAGCAATGTGAAACTGTTATCTGAAATATGCAGGTATACGCTACGGTTCAATATAATATTAAAACTTTCGTTTTGTGATATTTCATAAAACATGTAAATAAAATTAAGTACAGTATTTCCAACCTTTATAAGTGCTATTGTTCTCTAAATGCATAGTATTAAATGCTTGGTTCCAACGACTTGCATTTAGAAGGGTTTGGCTATATTACATTGTATACATAGAAATTGTACCAATAAGAATAACACTAATTATTCATATTATAAATATAAATAGCTATATATATAGTTTCTTGGATTATTACTCTATTTTAGCTATTCAATCAATAAATCAATGTATTTTATATTTTATATTCTGACTTTTCACTTAAACTTTATTTTTATTTTTGCATCTTTTATTCCGAATGGAAGATACTTTCATTCATCAATTCTTATTGATAAGAAACTCTATTTTAGTGGTGGAAATAAATTGAGTAATAGTCCTTCTAGTCAAATTACGAATGAATTCTTTTATTTAGATGTTTCTAAACCATTTACAACAACAGACAATGGTTCAATACCATGGATTGATCTTACTTATACTGGCGGACCTTTTAAAGATAATGCTACAGCGTGTATTGGTGGAAAAAATAATGATATGATTTTTATTTTTGGTGGGTATTATCCTAATGGTAATGATCAAACATTCGTTAATCAATTTGATACAAATAAACAACAATGGATTAATAGCACATCTGCTGGAAGTGTGCCCACAAACAGATATGATGTTTCATGTGCTAATTTCAATAATGGATTGGTCACCATTTTTAGTGGTTGGATTAATAGTACTTATAATATTAATGATCTTTGGATATTTAATACATTAACATTAACATGGAGATTAAGCAATGCTATAAATGCACCCTCATCTCGTTTTGCTTATTGCACAATAACTTTGCCTGATGAAAATATTTTATATATTGGTGGAATAAGTAGTAATTTAAGTGTTTTTATGCCAATGAATATTGTAAGTATTTATCTTTTAATAAATTAATGAAATGTATTTTTTGGCATTTATTGATTAATTCTTCGTAGTTGCCGTTATATAATACAAAATCTGATACGTGGACAGATACGGTGCGTAATAAATGAATATAAATTTTCATTATCTCTTAGCAATGAATAATCTAAACCTTCCAATAGAGTATATCTGGTCAAACACCTCCTGCTCGCGCTTTCTTTACAGCAGTATTAAGTATGTTATTTAACAAGATTAGTAAATATTTTAAGTTTCTTAATGAATGTTTTAAATATTTTATTAATCTTTAAATTAAAAGCTTCCGATGGACGTATTATAATTTTTGGTGGTTATAATGATTATGTAACGTTTGGTGATCTGTGGATATTAGATACTACAATATTCCAATATTCAATTGGAAACATTTTAAATCCAATTGTGGATTTAAATCTTAGAGGTCATACTGCAACATTAGTGGATAATTATATGTTTGTTGCTTTCGGTAAAAGTTTTAATTATCTTTTATGATGTTATATGCTATTACTTATAAATTATTTAAACTTATTAAACTTTTATTTATTCAACAGGTGAATTTTCAAACAATAATATTTCATCAGAAATATTTATGTTAGATGTAAGCCAAAAAGATTCCTATAAATGGGTTAATGAATTTACTCCAAATACCACAACTACCACTACAAGTAATTCAATTTCAAGAAATATAAACATTAACTTAATTATTTGTATCATTATTGTTGGTATCATTTCTTTAGTAATATTCGTTATTACAAGTATTATAATAATAAAGTTTATTGATAATATAAATAAACAAATAGTTAAATTATAAAATTAATGTCTCGGCATCATTGCTACTTGGTATTGCTTACTGAATAATCATTTAAAATCATTTTTAGAAAGAACACATAAATCTGTATGTGTACAAACAAAATTTTAATATACCAATATTCAATTGTTTTTTTAATAGTTGCATATATTTTTATTTTTCCTTTATTTGAGCAATATTAAAAATATTAATTCGAATACTATTATCTTTTATATTGCAATCGCACAGATATCAGATGCTTTCATGAAAAAAATAGTTTGGTGTGTTAAAAGTGTTAGAAATTAGTAAAACTAAACGTGGAGAAAGTGCTGTTATTTTATTTGGTAAAATTATCAACGAAAATGCAATTTGCGCAATAATATTTTATATAGTATAACATACGTATTGATATTCGTATACTCTAATATAGAAGTAACCAAATTATATATTTATTATATTAATTTCATTAATCAATTTTATATTTAAGACTTTTGAATTTACAGTCATTTACAATTCTAATTCCATGTTTATCCATTCTCTTTATCGCTTTTTGATAAGATGGTTTATAATAAATTGGTTCACGAAAATTTTCAAATGTTTTTTTTTATAATTACAAATTTAATCTTTTCAACTAATTTCTTATTAGTTGATATAGCTGTAGTATTATGTATACAATATTGGGCAAAAATTGTCGAATAACGGTAATTTGGCAAATGGGCACGTGCCGCTTTGCGGCACGTT